GGGCAATGAAAATTTCAAAATGCGGCAATATTTATTGTGTTCTTGTGCGGCAATTGAAGTGAACAATACACATCAATATTTAGGCTGTTTATTAATAATTTACTTTTTTGCTTCCTTATGTGACCAAAAATCACTGAAATTAATATCCTTGTTTTCGGAAGCAACATAACTTTTAATTTAATTTGTATTGAAATTATAATTTTTGTTGAAGTCCGATAACGGAATCTTTGCCGCGATATATACCACCACAAGAAAAACTCATACGAGAAGAATACGAAAGGTATTTTACGTCACCAAATGGCGGACTGCCATGACAGTATAAATTTATTAAAAAAAAAAACTTTAAAGTTTAATACAGCCCACGACAAAGCAGTAGAACCTCAACATTTTGACCAGTCTTGACTATTTTTCTTCTACTTATTTAATCTTCATTATTTTCATATAAAAGTATAGCTCATTGTCTAACAAAAACTGCATAAATCCAATTTGCAAGCTTTATACACAAATTATAAAAATTTCTTAAACTTTTGAACACAATCCCACGGTTTATAGTTTGGATTTCTAGAAAAAAATGGTTATTTAGTTTTGTAGCTCATTAAAATTTAGTACAATAAGGTGGAGGTTTGAAGTTGCTAAAAGATCCTGTTGATTTTTTATAATTTTTTTAGCTGACGGTATTATGCACTTTCTTCTCTGTAAATTACTTTGTAAACTGCAAAACAAAATTTTTTCTAGAAACCCAAATTAAAAACCATTGAATTGTGATCAAAATTTTAAGAAATGTTTATAATTTTTGTATAAAGTTTGGAACTTGGACTTATGTGGTTTTTACTATACAATGAGCTATGGTTTTATAGGAAAAAATTAACATTAAACAACAGAAGAAAAAAGTCAAGACTGATCAAAATGTTAAGGTGCTATCTTTTGTTGCTAGCTGTACATATAATTATAAAATTTAATTCCAAACATAAATTATGTAAATTCGCAGCTTTCATTTAAACAAACATAATCTTTTGTACCAATTTTACTTGTAATAAATAAAAAAACCTCTACGTAACAAAATTAAAAAGAAAACTGTTGCAACTTGAACTCCACATAGCACGTTGCAGTTATCGTCGAAAAATAAAAAAAAACTATACACTCAAACTTCTAAATAAATGCGTGAGTTTTCGTTGGGTACAAGTTTTTGCTTCTTTGCTTTCAAACAACAACAAATTTGCACAAAATGAGCCCGCAATATACAAAGCAGATGCAATTGATTTATTTCTTTATTAAGAATACGCCATTTTTACACAACAGAGAAAAAAACAGAGTTTAGAGGCCAGCGCAACATTTTATGGTCACAACTGCCGCATGCTCGAACAATCGTGTGATAAGTTTGGGGCAATTATTGTCACTATATTGCTTTTCGCCAACTTACGGCAATGAAAATTGTATAAAAAGAGGCAACCGTGTGACTGTACAGAATTTCATTGGGAAAATTTTTTTATTGTGCTCCAATACAGCACAATAAAAATTGTTCCAGATTGGTCCATTTGCGGCAATCGTGGGATCTCAGCTTAAGTAAAGTGTTTAAATTTGCCTTGGTCTTCATTTTTGCCTTTACCTTTACGCATCTTTGCTTTTGTTTTTATTTTTACCTTTGCCTTTATCCTTTTCTTTATCTATGTACGTAGTCACCTTTACTTTCATTCTTGTATTGGTCTTTTTCTAGGTGTTATTCCTTAAGCTTTTATTAGCAAATTTTTGTTAAATTAATACCATATGCATACACACACGAAGCACTTGTTTCAGTCCCACCCATTTCCGTTGCATCGTTTCCGTTGCACCATTTCCGTGTGCAATTTCCGTTGAATTTGCCAATTTACTCCCAACCAACCAGCCGCCGCTAAAGAAGTTTCACTTCAATAAAATGCTAAGCAAGCGACAATGGAAGCATTTAACTAAAGAAAAAAAAGCAAATTTACTTAAAATTGAATGAAAATTTGTGTAGTGAGAGAGTTGAACAAAATAGCGGCAACAGCGCATTAGTAAAGGGAAACATTAATGCTGAGCGTGTTATCGAAGACAGTGTTGTGACAACCAGTCACGGGCCACTTAAGAAAAAAATGGCGGACTTGTTTTTAGAATTTAGGCCCTCCTATAGATGTGTCTCCAGTCTTCTAAAAATACGAAAACATCTGTGTGCCCACTAGTGTTACTTCTTTAATAACCGAGCAACAAGGTTGCGTAATACGGACCGTGTCACCAGGGCAATACGTCCATATTGGAATAAGGAAACAATTAGAAAAAATAAAAGAGGAAATTATTGAGGAAGGATTAGAGGAAGTGCAACTAGATGTAGGATAGACGGGTTACCCTTATTCGAAATCTCGCTAGTAGGTCTATGGCCAATTTTAGGTCGCGTATCTAATTTAAAAGAAAACCCGTCTTCTTTATTGGAACTTATGTTGGGGATGTCTATTTGCATGATTTTGTTGAAGAAGTTACACTCTTGTCAACAAATGGGTTTTCATGCAAGGACAATTCAGTCATTATTTGTGACACACCTGCACGTTCCTATGTTTGTGTATACATAAAAAGGCACACTGCACTCAACAGGTGCTCTAAATGCATACAGAAAGGGCAAAAAATTAGTAATGTTATAGCTTTTCGTTCATTAATTGCGGATCTAAGAACTGACACTGATTTTTCCAATATGTCTGATAAAGATTTCCGTATCCCCTTCTATAAAGAGAAGATCCACTTCCATGAGGAAGAAAATTTCAAAATGGTAACGCCATTCCCCTTATATGCCATGCAAGGAATTATCGAAATCAGTTCAAGTAGTCCAAAGTTATGCGGTAACATATATACTTAAAAGAAATATTCGCACGAATTGATATTCCTCCTTTTTTGAGGTCGGTCAAAACTTGCAAATTGTCGCGTCCCTATTTATATTTTCGCCAATTTTGCGATATTCATTTTAAGTTTAAGTTGTTATAAAAAGTACTTTATAACTTTAAATTGGTAATTTTTTCAACCAACCTAATAAGGGCTATTTACAGCCCTTTTGGGATCGAAAAGGTTTTTTTAGCTTTAAAATCTTATTTGGAAAATTTTTGTGGAAAAAATTAAGATTTTTAGGGGTCTTTCTGGCAACACTTCATGTAAGAGAGAACGCAAAAAGCTGAAAAAAGATAGCTATGTAAAAGTTACTGTTTCAAAACTCGCTATATTAAATTTGTATATATACAATTTCAAAAACTACTGTGATTTTGTTTTTTAATGTTATCAGGCTCTTGTTTAACCAAATTTTCATATAATAAAGACAAATATACAATTTGGATGTTACTTGTTGCTGTAGACATTTTTTTTATTTATGGCTTATTATTATAAAATCACATAACGCTGTTTGCAGGTGGACTACTCATTTGTGCAATATTAAAAAAAAAAATCAACAAACTTTCGTACAAATCTCTAACTTTTTTAAAAATTTAAAAAATCAATCGAAATTTTTAGCCATTTGAAACTTGTACTTTATTCTACTAGAATTCAATGGGCTATAAAACTGCATACTCAGAATTTAATTAAAAAACTCGAAATTTTAACGAAAATTTTTTGATTTTTTTTTAATTGCATAAATTTTTAAGGCAGTGTCACTCGATTGGTACATTTGTACAGATTTGTAAATTTTTATATTGGGCTATTGGTAAAAAAAAAATGGGACATTTTTTTTGTAGTCAAAATATTGGTACAATACAGCGATGTTCTATTGAAAAATTTCAATAAATTAATTTTCGTGATAGGGATAAAGCAAAATATGTTGGGTGTTCACACAATTGGAATACGATATGCACCAAATTTTGGCAAATACGCAATCGTGTGACACTGCCTTTCAACTTGTATTTATACGGATGTTTTAAAAGAATTAACTATAAAAAACTAACCAAAATTAAATAACAGCAAAAATAATATTTTAAATTTTGTTAGAATTTTGTGTGGCTATATTTTGTTCGACTACTGACTATATTGACTATGATTACTCGGCCGTGCTATTTATCATAGTACCACAATACCACTAAGAGCATTTTAAAATTTTCAGGCAATGGCCTCATGCGATTATCGATTATATTTATTTTTTTTTGTGTATTTTGTATTTTTTTTATCAGTATTTTTCTTTTAATCAAAATACGTTTAAATAAAACTGTAAAAGTGAAACTAAAAAAAAACAATTTGCTAGATTTTTCGCCAGAAATCGGGTCTCAAGGAATTATTCAGCTATCGTCTCTGTTGACTTCTTTAGCACCTTATATTTCAGATTTTAAGAATTTGTGCGGAAACCAAGAGGCTTGGTTGGAAGGCTGTAGAATTCAGGCAGTTTATTTTATATACAGGATTAACTGTTTTCAAAGATGCTTTAAATGATGACATGTACTATAAATAATGAAATAATAAAGAATAAAGAAACAGTGTAAATGCCACATACACTATTATATATTAGAAAAGTCTTTAGTTTTCTTAAATACCTTTTTGTATCACCAAGTTATTAGCGAAAAACCATAACCGTGTACAAATACACTGTGTACAGGTTTACAAATAGTGTATGGTGCACGCGGACTATTATTAAGAAAATCCCTAAGAAATTCTTGTAATATTGAAACAACGTTAGAGTATTTTACTTCATTATGTTGCTGCTAACTTTCACAAGCAGCTTCAATATTTCAATAATAAAATAGTGTACAATGATTTCATATAAAAATGTTCAAAGATAAAATAGTGTATAAGCAAATGCTTTCAGAAAAATTGGCTCAAATAGTATTTCTAAGTAAACATGGGACATAATTTTTTGTGAATTGACAGCTAAGGAATCAATAAAAAGTGTGGTGTATTTAAAATGTGAATATTTTGAATAAAAAGTGCATAATTTAAGTTTAAATTTGGTCGATTGTATTATAAAAACATCTAATTCGTTTTTCTCAAAACTATACTTTTCATGTTACACTACTTCATTGTTCCAGCGACGAAATAACATGTTGAGACCTTTGCGGATTATTACGGAGTAACAAGCGTTACCTCTAACGTACATAATCAACTGCATTTAACCGATTGTGCGAGAACTTTTGGTTGTCTGGATACATTTTCTTCATTCAGTTTTGAAAGCTATTTGCGAATTGTGGAGAAAATCATCAAGAAACCTTAGCATATTCCTCAACAAATTTTCAACAAGTTTAATTTATTGCCATTTTCAAAGGAACCAAAAATAGAAGGATTTAAAGAAAAACTCTGAAGGAGTAATAAAATCATATACAAGTGAATGGTTTGGTTACTTTTCAACAAATTTTCCTGATTATTATTGCTCAACTTCATCTCACACCTTTTTAAAAATTACATATGTTTTTGAAAATTAGTCTTTTACAGCAAAAGCTTTTTTAAATCCAGACAATTTTTTTACAAAACCTGTTTCTTCTTTGAGTCTCGGGATTGGTGTTGTAAGCTCGTTGCGACTTGGCCCGGAAATAGTGTACAATCTAAATTAAATTTCTTACAAGCTAGTATCTCTATCCTACAATCCCATTTACACCCAGTTGTATATGTTGCCGGCCAAAACCGATCTTAGGATAAACTAGGTTTTCCTAGATCCGATACATCCGTCTAACACGAAATCAATTTTGCCGCTTACAGGCCAACCTAATATTACCGGCGTGAATTTTTCTACGCACGCACGCAAGTTTTTCACGTTTGAGTAACCGAAATAAATTTGCGTGAGTGATTTTTCAGAGTTGCATTTCAGTCCAATTTCAAAAGTTGAGCAAAGTTTGAGCATAAATGCAAAATAGCTTCGATTCTCAAATTAACATATGGGGATCGATAGAGATCATTGAGGTGAGTATAACGGTATATTTCTTTTCTTGCGAAAACAACAACTTCAAAAGTTATTAAGGGCGGTAGTTAGACCTATCCTCACTTATGGCGCGCTGGTATGGTGGCAGGCGGTTGACACCAAATCCCATATACTCAACTTGCAAAAGGTGCAACGACAAGCATGCTTATGCATAACGGGGGCGATTTATTCAACGCCCCAGGCATCTCTAGAGACCCTGCTGGATATTCCACCTATAGACCTATATGTTAAAAGTATCGCAGCTAAAAGCGCTCTACGACTCAGAGCGTCTAACAGGCTGCGAACAACTTGCAAAGGTCACGCCACAATCCTCGGGAGAGAGGGGGTGGAATACAGCCGCTGTGACTATCAGGTCACGGAAATTGACTACAATCGAAACTTCGATATCCATTTTCCTGATAGAAGTGACTGGGAATTTAATATTGCTCTCAGCAATGACGAAATACCCATCTTCACGGACGGCTCCAAAATGGATATCGGAACAGGGTCTGGGGTCTTTTCCCAGGAGCTATCTCTGAGAGAGTCGTATAGACTCCCATACCACTGCAGTGTTTTGCAGGCTAAGATATATGCAATCCATATGGCGGCAAGGTTGGTGGGCATGATTGACTTAGCTTCATCTAAACTTGCCTTCGTTTTTGACAGTCAGGCGGCTATCAAAGCCGTAGGGTTGGCAACGACTAACTCGTTATGCGTTAAAGAATGCCGAAGATCCCTACAAGCTCTACAGCAACACATAATCAATCTTTACTGGGTACCGGGACATTGTGGTGTCCCGGGAAATGAGGAAGCGGACGAATGTGCTAGGAAGGGATCTGAGATGGGGCTCGGGGAAGCGACCCAAATCGTGAAACCCCCTGCGATTTCTGTCTTCAGAAGTCGAGAGACTGACCAGGGCAGCTACCAACAGTAGGTGGATAAACCTTCACACCTGCAGGGTATCGCGATCACTCTGGCCACGGCTCGATGAACGAACAACAAGGAGTCTATTAAGGTTTTCAAAGTCAAGCGTCAGGCTTCTCACAGGAATACTAACGGGACACTGGACCATTGGCCACATGGCCGCCAGGTTCGGAGCCCCACATAATGATTTCTGTAGAAGCTGCAGGGATGAGGAGGAAGAATCCGTCCAGCACTACCTTTGCGAGTGTCCAGCACTTCGAGGAAAACGCCTCAAGTTTCTTGGGGACCATTTCTTCGAGAATCTGGATATCTTGGGGAAAGCTCCTCTGGAAGGACTGCTAGGATTCGCCAGAAAATCAAAATGGTTCGAAGACATGCAGGGATAGTCTTAGGGTAACCCCCATGGACATCACAATGGGCCTCTGCGGCCTCCGAGTGAACTCTTCTTTTCAGAGCTGCCCGTTTAACCTTAACCTAACCTACCTAAGGGTCAAAGTTCAAATTAAAAAAAATGTTAATCAAAATTTCTTAAAAATTTAATTTGAGAATCGAAGCTATTCTGCATTTCTTCCAAAATTTTAATTCATAGTCGCGCTAAAACAGTGGCGGACCCAGGTAGGGGAAATTGGGGTAGTTTCCCTCCCCCCCAAGACTGTGTAACATGTATTTTCATAATATTCAACTGAATATAGTGAAATATCATTACAAGAATATATACATAACAGGTTTGTCCCACAAGCTACTTGTAGAAAAACTCGAGCAAAGTTCAAACTGTGAGCGTATATCAAAGAAACTCGAAAACTTACTTGCGGAGCGCGTATATGTAACTCGAAGTTACTTCGAGAAGCTTGGGGAACAAACCTAATGAATGGATGCTTTTGAAAATTTTAATTCATAGAAAAAGTGTGTCAAATTTAACTTGAGTTTGAAATTATAGCTGTGCGCTAAGCGCGAAGTATTTTATTATTTAAATAGGCCTATCAGTTTTTCGAATTCACTGAATTTTAAAAATTTTGAAATTATGTACTTAATTTTTAAATTTTTAGTTTTTTTTTTGTTATATTTTTGAATTTGAAAGTCACAGCAAGTTTGAATATTTTCACAGGTTCAAAAAACAACGAGAATTCCAAAATTTTGAATTTTATATTATTAAATTTCTTGAGATTTCCTATTTTTAGGATAATTTCCAAAATTTCAAAAACTATCGAAATCCGGGAGATTCTAGAAATTTTGGTAAAATGAGAATATTTTGAAATGTACAAAATTATTGAGATTTTAGAAATGTTTATATTTTCCAAAATTTTGAGAATTTTATTTATCCTAAAATACATCCTAAAATGTAAAATGTGAAACATCACAAATTGTCGAAAAATTCTTATGTTCATGTACTCGCGAGTAAAAAGTATAAAATTCTTAGAATTCTAAAAGATATTAACATTTTTGAAAAATTCCAAAATTGTTCCACTTTTCTGAGCTTTTCCAAAATTTTGTATTATAACAATGTTTGAGAATTTTGAATTTTTTTTAAATTTTGAAAACATCAACGTTCAAAAATTTTTTTAATCTTCAAAAATTAAAAAAATTTTTAAAATTTTCAAAAACGACGAAATTTGAAAATGTTTTCAACAATGGAAAACTGTTAATTTTGTTTGATCAATTTTGTATATTCGACACTTTTACTTAGAAAAAATTTGTTAGAATTCCTACAATTCTCAAAATTTTTGAAAAATAAAAAATTTCTAGAAATCTAGTATTCATCATTATATTGAATTAATTGAATTCTTGGGATTTACTAAAATTTCTCAAATTCACGAAGTTTTGAAAGTTTAGAAAATTTTGGAATTACACTCAAGTTATTAAAAAGGAGAAACTTCAAGAAATTAATAACTTCAAAACTCTAAAAGTTTTAAATTGCGGTGATTTTTAAATTTATATACACGATATACGTTAAAAAATTTTCCGGGTTTGGCCGGTAACATATAAAACCAAAAATAAAAGGACTTGTATATAAAAAATAATAAAAATGGCTGACATGAAAAAATTGAAATAGTAAATTCACGAATTAAAAAGTAGTATTTTATGGTTACTATACATATATGTACTTTAGGGTAATCCAAAGTAAGTAAAGTCGGGATTTTAATGCTCTCACCCCTAGGATTGTTCTATATGGAAAAAAGTATACCCCTATTTTTTTTATTTTGAAATACTTAGATGTCGCTCTAAGCGCTCCAACTTTTCCATATATTTTTGTATGGGAAAACACAACTTTTCGTGGAAATGGTATGGGATTCTTGAAAATCAATATTTTTCGATCGGAAAACTCAGGTTCTCTTCTGGAGACTTCCAATAACAATATCCAATTATTTATTTAACTATTTTTTATCTATCCCCCCATTGCATTTTCTGGCTTTTCTAAGGTTTCGGCGGTCCTATAAAACATGGTAACTAAGAAAAAAATTGTTAAAAAAATAATTGGGTTTTATTATTGGGAACCTGTTGAAGAGAAACACAGTCTTCCGATCGAAAAGTATTGATTTTTAAGAATTCCATACCATTTCCACGAAAAGGTTTTTTTCGATACAAAATACATGGAAAACTTTGAGCGCTTAATATTTTTTGATTTCAAAATAAAAAAATAGAGGTACACTTTTTTTCGATATAGAACAATCCTAGGGGGTGAGAGCATAAAAATTCCGACTTTACTATTTTAAATGCATTTTTGGACTACCCTAATGTACATACACTATGTCACTTCAAACAACTTGGAATGTATTTTGGAGCTGAAGTATATTTACTTTAACTAACTAATTCTTCCTTAGACACTTACTATTATTGTTTTTTTGACTAAACAGTTTCATAAATTTCTAACGACGGCAAAAATTCAAGCTAAGTAAAATACACTCGTAGCCACGCCACAACAAGCAACGTGTCAATTTGAAATTGAATTTTTCTAAATTTTGCACAAAAGTTTGAAACTTTTATGTTTTTATTGCGGTTTGAACTGTATTTAAAAAAATATTTTTTTTTTTTATTAATTTACCAAATCCTACCAAATTGAAAAAAGCGAAAGTAGAACAGTTAAAAGTTATTACGATGGGGAAGAAAGCCGCAGCAGACAGTTTCAATTCGGAAATAAATGCAATGAGAGGTACTATTTTTAAATTATAACATTCGAAATAAATACACCCACTAGAAAAAGTTTCCGTACAGAGATTTTTAAATAATTCAAATATTTTTTATAAAAGCACTTTTTCGTTCATCTTTTATAAAAATAGAATTCATTCTATAATATGAACCATTTAATTATAAATTTCAAACTTTGCTTTAAATTCAGAAAACAATTGACAAATTTTCAGAGGCATTTTACACATTTTTGCCAGAATTTTTAGAAACATTTTTGGTACAAAGTTTAATAGAACTTACAAAAAAAAATTATTAAAAGTCAATTATTAATTTATTATTAAATAGTTAATTTATTAGTAATTGTTTTTTCAATAATTTTTTCAGAAAAAAGATTTTCAAAAATCAACAGCAGCGTCAAACCTGCATATTTCTGTATTAGAATTGAAAGTGTTGTAAAATGTGTACCAAGAAATTTTCGAATAATTCTGACAAAAAAGTGAAATTTTGCCGAAAATTTCATAACTTTTTTATCTCATAAAATTTTATTATAATAAAGTTCAAGTTTCAAGGGGCAAAGAAAATGCGTTGATTTTTATTAATTTATGAAAAATCCCACAGAAGACGTAAAAAAACATATTAAAGATCAGCGAAATTTATTTTTATGGGCAAAAAAACGTAACACATTTTCTAAGACTAAAAAATCTAAATTTTAATGAACGATTCTTCTAAATTTAGTATTAAGTTTGAAACTTTGATTCATATGTATGATTTTGGTTAAAGCGAGGATTATTTAAAAAAAAAACTTAACAAAAAAATATTATATTAAAAAATATGAAATCTTGGTAAATACACTTTTATGCAACAATCAAACGTTGAATAACTGTTGTCACAAATTTTAGATTTAATTACACAAACTGAACTGAAGTACAATTTTAATTTTAAGTAACTTTTTAAAAATAAGTATGTATGTCTGAATAAAAATGGATTTATGAATTTCAAACGCAATCGAAGAAAATTAAATGTCAATATCTTAAGGCAATCTGTATTTTCTGTTTCCAATTTATATATATACATACACACACCAAAAAATGTATTGGCACAGATAATGTTTCACAGTATATGCAACTATTTTTATTTTTTTCTGGATAATTTTTTATAAAAATATGGTTAATAGTCAAGAAAAAACATCAAAATATAATTTCAAAAATTTGTGCAAAATTTGGGAAAGTTCACTAAATTTGCATACAGATTTGTAGTCCATTAAATTTTAGTATGAAAAATGCAAGCTTGTGGTAGTTAAAAAATCGCGTTGATTCAAAAATTTATTGATCATTTCTTAGTTTTGCACAAATTAAGAAATTATATTTTTATGTTTTTAATTGTAGTATGTAGTAGTAGTAGGAAGTTGTATGCATTCTACATTAACTTCTCTGTAAGACATTGATGATTAGTTTATTTTCAATCACAGAAACATCGTAGTATGCAGTACTAGGTTAGGGCTGCCAGACGTCCCGATTTTCCAGGATTAGTCCTGATTTAAACAAATTGTCCTGGTGTCCTAGTCCATACTTAAACTGTCCTGGTTTTTTAATGAAAGTCAATGCAGATACCCATCTAATTTTTAGCAGATTTTTGCTTTGGAAAAAAAGGTTAAAATTTCCTTAATTAGTAGTCGAAAATCGATAATAAAAGATTTATTCTAACATGTTGAACACTATCTGGTGAGTTTACCTTCTTTCTGTTTAGTTTATTTGGTTGAAATCTAATTTTGTATCTTCACGCGAATGCCAAAAAAGTGCAAGTTCCTGAACTGGTACACGG